CATACTACTTTCACAACTATACACTCAAATCGTAACTAAATACATAACAAAAAAAAATTAAATAAATAAAAATATTTTTATAAAATAGAGTTTGAATTTATTTTTATAAAATATTTTAAAATTTAAAATTTAAAATCATTGTAATATTTTGAAATTAAAATATTTAAAAAATATTCAAAAAATTAAAAAATTAAAAAAATCGTAACATATTTAAATATTAAAATATTTAAAATCTTAACAAAATTAAAATATTTTAAAAATATTTAAATATTTAAGAAATTAAAATATTGATTTAAATTGAGTTTTGAAAAGAGTTTTGAATTATGTCTTTTGTTATGAGTTTTGAATAGTAATGATTTTGTTTTGAATTGAGTTTTGAGAAATGGGTGTAAAATTATGATTTGAAAGTTCAAAACAAAATCACACTCAAATTAATTGGTAAAACTATCATTTGAGAGGCTTACCAAACGGAGCCAAATTTTTTCAAAAGTGGATTTCACTAACTGTTGGAAAAAATGGTTTTATATAGGCATATTTTTTAACCCATTTTGGGTGAACCCCAAACGTCTTTTGGGGTGGGTCCGAAGAGGTGAAGTGTTCCTTGCCGTGGCAAGTCACACGGTGAAGACGGAACGTCAAAACCATTTATGAGTAAATGGGAAGTTGACATCGTTTTCGAGTTTAACATTAATTTTTATTTGATAAAATTCTTTTGAATTTTTTCAATTAAAAAATTATTGTGGGAATTTAATTTAATTCTAAATTCAAATTTTGGGTTCCTAAGTGGTTTCCTAAAGTTTGTAATTGTGGGAATTTTATTTTAATTCTATATTCAAATTTTTAGTTCCTAAGTGAGTTTCTAAAAATTGATTAAACTATTTAAATAGTTTAATAAAATTATTCCATTCAGTGAAAGATTTTATTTAATTAACTATTCTAATAGTTTAATTTAAAAAGCTTTAAACAGTTTTATAACTATTATACCTTTGGTCCACTTTTCATTTGTTTGAAAATGTATTCAAACCAACAGACACTTTTCATTTTTTTTGAATTATAAGTGCGTCTGTTCTTTGGCACCTGTTCGACAGGAGTTTGGCCCATATATACCATCTATTCTAGCAGGTTTGGATCCGAATTTTTTACATCTGAAAATCTGTCTAAATTTGATCTCTTTGTTGTCTAGATTTTTTCTTCTTTTGCATTATTCTTCATTCTAGTTTTAGAATAAATATTCAGAGAGTTAGATCACAGGTTTGGTTCGCCGAACAATTTGTTTTGGAGTGCTACTACAAATTGATTAAAAATCATTGTATCCTGGGAGATAGACGCCACTCAACCGTAAGCACCATAGCGGGGCGAATCTGTCTTAAGGACAGCGTGTCACACACTCGACTTGGTCTTTTTTATTTTTGTTTGGTTCAACAAAATATTTTCTGTAAGTTTTACTTTATTTTGTTTGAATTTATTTCAGTTTATTTTATTTACACAGAAGATTGTTCCAACACTAACAAATTCTCCTTGCAAAATACGGAGCCAAAATTTTCCGAAAGTGGATTTCACTAACAAATTCTCCTTGCAAAATCTTATCCATCAACGTATAACTATTTAATTTTGCAAATAGGTTGCTTTGCTCTAATGTAGAAGAACAACGTTCCGTAATGTTAGATTTTCTTGTTGATATGCTTAGAGTTGTTGACTATAGAGTACATGGCAATTGATAGAGAGTTAATGAGTATTTTAATGGAATAAGATTTGGACCTAAGGCTTGGATAAAATGAAATTACAAGAGGTACAATTTTCATTTCAATTCAGTGATGAAAAATAGTGCATCTTATCTTATTATTTTCAGATTTGGATGTCTAATCCAACTAGGTGGGCCAAAGTTTAGATTCAAAATAGGGCTCTCAGCAAATTCATAAGTAAAAATTCAGATTGGCCAATCTGAAGGGCCCAACCCAAAACGAGGAATTCGAGATCCAGAACAAACTCATCTTCTCTCAGTCAGCCATATTAGAACTCGAGAGCAGCGACTCAAGCTCAGCTAGCGATCATCAGCGAAGACTCGAACAGCCATGTCCGCCGGTGAGTGCTTCCTCTCTCTCGCTTTCTGTCTCTTTCTTTATCAGATTTTAATGGAAGAACATAGTTGTTGCCCTAATTTAAGCTCTAATTGTGTGCCCTAATTTTTGTGCATTAATGGAATAATCTCTAATTTATATGCTTTAATGGAAATCTCTGATCTTGCTGTGCTCTAGTTTCTGAAAACATATTATTTGTCCTAATTTGTGTGCCCTAGTCTCTGTTTTGGTTCGCTCAAATTTGTGTGCTTTAATGGAGTAGCCTCTAATTTTTATTTTTGTTTGTACCATTTTACCCAAACTTTTGTTTTGAGGGTAAATCTGTGAAAGGGCCCCTCTTAAGAGCTTGCCTAGGGCTTGTCTAATCTAACTTGAAAAGGGTTAATCAAACTTGAAAGGGGTTGTCCTGGGTTATAAGATAAAAAAATAAACAGAACAAAAAAGTCACTCTTGGTTATGTTGCTTATGTAATATGTTAATGAATAAGCTAGTCCTGTGCTTGTTGCAATGTATATGTTCATGGAAGTCTTCTTCCTGTGGTGCCTTGTTTATGTGCCTAGATTTTTGTTGATATGCCAACCTGTGTAAGTGTTTTTTTGGGGGGTTTTGAGAGAGGTTGTAAATTGCTTTAAGTGTGTGTGAACATGGTTGGTATATATCATGTAGAAATGAAATCTTCTTCCTAATTTTTATTATCTCAAAGTATTTCTTTATTTTGGGTTAGTAAAATCTCTTTCTTCACAATTTTTTTTTTTTTTTAAAAAAAAAAAAAGTTTTTGTAGATCTTACTAAAATGTTGCATATTTCCCGAGTATCACCTCCTTGGAAAGCTTTACTTTTTTTAAATGTCATGTGACCAAGGAAATCAATGTTAGCCCACTATTTTTTATTAGGGTAAATTACTCTAATATCTTTTTTAAGCTTGAAGGAAATACATCGAGTCCAACAATTTCAGCATAATTACATTGAGCTCTCATAAGGTTTCAATTTACTTAACACTTACTCCTCTTTTTCATCACTAATCAATCCTATTAGCATTTTCACAGTCCATTCTCACCTAAGATGTACGGACACGGATATGGATATAGATATGGACACGGATGCGAACACAGGATGCGGCGATTTTAAAATATGGGGCGATTTTAAAATATCTTATTGAAACTAGAGTTGCTGAAATCAAGCACACCTTGCATGATGTCAACAAGGCGGCCAGTCCAATTCAGTATAGCAAAATTGTTATCCGTCATATCATGCCCATTTCTAATTGTTATCCGTCATATCATGCCCATTTCTACATGGGGCATTCATCCGCATACTACTCGGGCCCTACGAACAGTATACCTATGGACAACTTTGCCAATTATTCAGATAAATATTATTAAAAAAAATATGCATTTGCCTGCAGAAGGAAATGTTAAAGACCCATACAAAAGACACTCGACTTGAGAGACTCTTTAAGTAGTACAGCAAAAAGAAACCATCATAATAAAAAATAACAATAAAAATAAATAGTCTTCAAAGGCCTTTCTTAACCAGTGCCACCAAAAACAGCCTTGAGCTTCTTGACCTGAGCATGATCAAGGAAAGTTACCTTCTCCACCACTGCAGAAGGCAAATTGTTGCCAAACAACGCAACATCAGTGAAGTCGACACCCGGGTTTGCGCTATTGAGGCTAACAATCGCAAGAGCCGGTATATTTCCAGTATTGAATTGAAAATGCAATAGCCCTTGTGGGAAAACCATAACATCCCCTTTGTGAAGAGTTTTAAAATAAGCAGTGTTGGTCGAAGAAGATATGAATCCGGCACAAATTGTTCCTTCCACCACAAAAATGATTTCTGAACCTCCACGGTGCGTGTGGATTGGCACAACTCCACCCACGGCTAGATCTAAACGTGCCATGGAAAGGCCAAGCCCATTCAAACCAGGAAATTGATCTACAAATGCTAGTGTAACCGCAGCTTTGAGAAGATCGCTAGTGTTACCAGCAATGCCTAAACCTGAATAAACAAAATCATTAACCGTCACGTTAGCAGGTTTCTTGCAAGAGTAGCCTGCAGGTCCATCGGGCAATGAGAAGTCTGCCACACAGAAGTCTAGCACTGAACCATGAGAGTAGGAGAAGAGAAGCGAAACGACGAAGAGGATTGGAAGATACATCTTCATCTCCAAGAGGAAGGGATATTTTTTCTAAGTGTTGGTTGTGTTCAATATGGGGACA